TTTGTCAAATGTTTTATAATATAATATAGATATAGCAACATATGTAAAAGAAGACGACAGATGCAATATATAAACATTAAATTTGAACAGACCAAATATATAAAATTAGAAAGAATATCTTACTACAATCATTAATATATAAATTATTTTGGATTTTTTTTAATTTAAATTGAAATCAAACTATATATAATAATGAAATTAGAATCCATATAATACCTTTCATTTTACATGAAATGATTAAAACCTTTTTAAAAGATTTTTTTACCGAAAAACCACACAATGAAGAAAACAGTCTCAAGTAGATCGAAAAAATCCAAACATGGGAAATAAAGAATCAACAATTCAATTGGACTTGTTTATAATCGAAGTAGTCACAATACCGACAACAAGTACTATTACTCTTCATGCAGGAGGGTTTGTTTTTGTGAAAATGTAAGCAAGTTATCAAAATGTGTCACAATTATATATATTCACTTTCTTTAATTTTCATTTATTTAATATAAAAATGTTCCTAATTTTATAAAAATGTATAAAAGAAAAGAGACGATGTGACACCTTTTAAATCAATACCAAAAATAGCTCGAATTATCAACTAAAGTGTGCGGTTCCCACAGTATAAAATATTAATAGCAAGCCTGGTCCACATGATAATTCCTATGCACAATAATTCGATGTAAATTCAGAAGCCGTAGTTTATTTAATGTAGATCATTAATTAAATTTGAATTATTTTATTAGAAGCCGATCGTTGTTTCTCTATTTATACATCAAATATTATCCATGCATATGTAGTCATAGAAATCAAAAGATGATGCAAAGATTAGCTACAGCAGTCGTATGACAAGGAGTTGGTGCATCACTACCACACAGAACAGCTGCTGCTTTCTTTTCAACCTCTATGCTATTCGATGAAACACACATAAAAGTATATGTATATATATTTGTTTTAGGTAAGTAACTGTTTTTCATGCATGTACAAAAACAGCTGTGGTTATTTTCTAACAACTTATTGCAATGATGACAGTTAAAAGAAAGTATGGCGCAATTTGCCCAAGAGCATATAGCACCTCATGCACAACAAATTATTTCCCAGAGGTTTCATCCATTATTGGTTTTTATATATCTAATGCATGTATATGATCTCCAAAAATTGACTATGCCTTGTTTGTGGTTAACTTATGGAAACTAATTAATGGGTGACTTTAATGATAATCTTCATGGAATTACCGCTCCAGGTAGAGCTGCATCCTCTCTTGATTTCTTGCTACTTCTCTGAGCATTTTGGGTCAACAAAAGAACATATGATATAAGTCATGTAGCTGTGCTGTCGTGGAAAGATCACTTCTTTTTCCTTCCTTTAAGTGGATTTCAGTTTTACTTCTTGGTTTGTGTGGCCTACACGACGTATTATCCAATTGTAAAAGTTAAATTTTGTTTTGAAGAGGAATACGGAGGACTAGGCCTTGGTTATTCGTATCACTGCATACCTCTGGAGGAGATTAGCCGTGCATCAGCATCAGTCGGTTTATCCTTGTAAATGTAATGCAGGTTCAGCACTGCCCAGAAATTGGACAAACTTGGAATGCGAGGAAGCGATACGTATGCTAACTAATAAATAACCCTGTGTCTGATTCATATCTTTTTCTAATAACAATACCATCCGATTGTTACGAATCTCAGATGCGAGCTTGTTTTTGATAATTGCTTCGTTCCTGAAGAGAATGTTCTTGGTGAAGAGGGAAAAGGTATATATGCATATAATCTTTTCGTGTTTCCCTGTCTATAGACCAAAATGTCTCTACCGGAAGTCTTTGATTTTTCTTCAGTTTTGAAGTTGAATCATGATATGTATTTAAGATCATCCATTTCAGGAGTGTACGTGATGATGTCGGGTTTAGATTTAGAGAGACTTGTATTGGCAGCTGGACCTATCGGCATCATGCAGTCATGTCTTGATGTTGTTCTTCCTTACGTCCGCCAAAGAGAACAATTCGGTCGCCCCATTGGGGAGTTTCAACTTATGGAGGTCAGTAATCGCCCCCCATTCAAATTCGACTTGTCATTTTGAAAGAAAAAAAAAACAGGCAACACTGGTTTTCAACTCTGTTTTCTGTGAAAACAGGGGAAGATTGCAGACATGTATACTTCTTTGCAGTCTTCAAGGTAAAACACATGCTGTTTCATAACTCTTGAACCTCCCTTTTCTTTGTTTTTACTAACGATCAACATTTAACATTTTTTACAGAGCATATTTGTATTCTGTTGCAAGGCAATGTGATAATGGGATACTTGTTCCAAAGGTCCACTTTCTACTCGATCAACATTAAAATTCTTTTTATTTTTTAGGTAACTATGACTGTGTGGGACAGTTACCTCGACTAATCTCATAGGATAATAGTTTGAACGTTAGGAAGGGGCAGGGCATTAACAATTGCACCCAAATTACTTTTACAGGATTGTGCAGGAGTTATACTTGTTGCTGCTGAAAGAGCCACCCAAGTAGCTCTGCAGGTGCAAGGAGATTTCCCAATTGCAGATCATAAGTGAATGATTCATTCATTTTTTCAACTGGTTTTGTTTATAAGAAAATGTGGATGTTTGTTTGGCAGGCAATTCAATGTCTGGGTGGGAATGGGTACATGAACGAGTACCCGACTGGCCGGTTTCTTCGGGACGCTAAGTTATTCGAGATCGGTGCCGGAACTAGTGAGATCAGAAGGATGATTATTGGTCGTGAACTCTTCAAGGAACAATAAGAAATTAATCTCTTTTCTTTTAATTAAGAATCACAAGAAATGTGCTACTTTTAATGCATGGTATATAATTAATTACTGCATATAATCGATTGTGGTTGATAACTATAAAATTGTTGATTTTTAATTGTCAATTTAATATGTTGATAAGTAATATTTGTCTTTTTTCTTTCTGTAACCATGAGTTTATGCATCAGTTTACATCCATCGACTAATCATTGGGTGTACCAACGGCTTGGAGTCATTATAGGTGAACCAGCCTAAAAAATATTGATATTGGTCTATTGGTTTACTCCGGAAAATTTTTGAGTTTATATGCTTAATGTATAAGTAATATGCTACTCTTATTATCATTTGAAAAATATGCTTATTTTTATTTAATAACAAAAATACCACTAAATTCAAAAGTTTCCCGTCTAGCAAAGAAAATTGTTAGGCTTGTGATGCCAGACGTATTTTCTAATAAGGTAAATTGCACTCGTCTGAAGAATAATGACGAGTGACGACAAAGGAGTTTGACACGAGCACAATTGTCATTCAAAAACCAAATCAAGAATCCATAGTCGACGACAATCTTCTTGTGCAAATATTAAGCTCATCGAACTCAACTGTGAATCTATTGGGTCATCCAAATTTTCGGCCAAACGATGTGGAAAAAAATGAGCATTTCCATGTTTCGTCATCTTTGGAGCAACAAGCCGAACATATCTAAATGGTCTCCGGATGTATTAGAATTATACTCATTTTCTACAGAACCTTTTAGTTAAAATTATGATTGAAATATAATCACTTTCTACAAAATATTGACACCAATTGTGGCAATGGATAATTAGATTTGGTTTAACAACGGGCAACTAGTTACTTATCTTCTTGAACTTGGACAAGAAAACCAAGGGGCTGTTTACCAAAAAACTTACCCGGTAAGTGTTTATCGGTAAAATTCAACACTATTATTTACTTACTGGGTAAGATTTTAATCCACCGAAACGGTATCATACGCAACAATTTACACTATAAGCTCTTATCGTGGTAAGAGTCGTTGCCCTCACTTACTGGGTAAGACTCGTGGTCCTTGTCTCGTTCTTCGTCATATTCATCCGGTGTGGTAATGTGACTTGATAAGCACTTACTCAGATAAACGTTTGGTAAACGGGCCCTAAGCATCGTTTATCAAGGATAAAGCAGAAAGAAACAAATTCACTAAATAATTTGTCTACAAAATTATATCATGCCCCTTACAATAATTTTTTCTGTATCCGCAACTGATAACAAAATTCTTTTTTTCTCTGCTCTTTCATTCAATTTAATTGGTTGGACGCAGATAAACTCATTGAAACTAATCAAATAAAGCTTTTAGAATATTTCTTAAATTCGAAGAAATTTCCTTCTTTTTTCTATTTTTTTCAAAATAGAGAAAACTTTAAAATTGTTGAAGCAAAACAAAAGCAAATTTTTTTTAAAATAAATATTTTGAAGAAATTATTGTTGTTGGAACTTGGAGATGCTTTAACGGCAAGCCCAATTGGGATTTGGGCTAAAAGGTTCCATTTTTGTCCCAGGTGGGCTGCAAGCTGCATCATGATATTGGGCTTCATGGGCTTTATGTTGATTTGACAATTGGTTTAGTGGTTTCTTTTGTACTTTCAAGTTTCAACTTTCAAAGGCTGGGTATCACATTTTTCGGTGTAGCTTTTAGGGTTAAATGCATGAAATAATAATTTATTTTTATAAAAAAAATTATTATAATATTTTATTTTTGTTTTTATTTATTACAGCAAATATATTTTTAAAATTATTTTTTATTAAGACATTGTACTTTAAAAAATCTACTCATAATAGCAATGACTAACCTGTTACCTTTTAAACCGATTAACCGTTGATTTTTTTTTGCTTGTGTGGCTTTCTTGTGTGGCTTTAATGAGATGATGTGGATGAAATATCATTTTGATGACTTAAATAAAATAAAAATAAAAACTTATTTCAAATTATTATTAGTGATTTTCTTTTTTATTGTTATGATCTAAAAAAATATTTAATTTTTTTTTACTTTTTCTTATTAAGTTGCATGCAAATTAAATATTCTAGAGTAAAATATTTCTTAAATAAATATGAAACATTATTTTCGAGATATATTTTGTTTGTAAAAAAGGTAACACTTATTATTTTATGTTGTTCAAATAAATACATATCTTTTAAAGTTTTTTTTTTTAAATGTTAACGAAATAAATTGTGATCTACAATATTTTAATATTGTTATATTAATAAATAATCCAAAAAAATTAAATTAATTTCACATTTTACACATCAAGTAAAACTTTTTGAACAAATATAATATATTATTTAAAAGATAATATTTTTTAGTAAAAAAAGAAACAATTCTTATTTTCTTTTTTCAAAAAACACATATTTTTTTAAAAAAATATTAGTGAGATAAATTGTGTTCTAATAGTTTTATTGATATTGGTATATTAATGAATAATTTTTTTAATTCATTTAATATATTTATTAAATAACATGTAAAATATCTAAATATTATAATTAAAAATATAATATTTAATAAGAACTAGTAGATGCTATAATAAAATAATTTTCAAAGTACAATAATGTAGTAAGAAAGTCACATCACTATAGTATATGTGGACAGCCTGTATGGACAATGAGTTGACATGGAAACCTGGTATAATGGGTAAATTTAAATCAAAAGGTTACTCAATGCTATAATGGATAAATTTTTCAAAGTACAATGTTCTAATAAAAAGTAATTTGAAAGTACATTGTTATAATAAGAAAAACTGGAAATACAATGCTATAATAAAGAAATTTATGAAACTAGATTGTCATTTTGTGCATTTCGCCCTAGCTTTTATGTACTTTTACTTGCGAGACTATGAATCAAGACTCGAGAGAGTTTGTTTACTATGGTGTCGTTTACCAAACGTTTATCCGGGTAAGCGCTTAACAAATCACTGTACATTACCGGATGAATATGACAAGAATTAATAATCTTACCTGCTAAGAGCGAAGCCAAGAATCGAGAGTGTTACCCGATAAGTGAGAACGAGGACTCTTACCATGGTTAGCGCTTATCGGGATAAATTGTTGCATACGATGCATTTTAATGAATAAAATCTTACCTGGTATGTAAGTGGTAGTATTAAATTTTTTCCTGTAAGTGCTTACTGGGTAAATTTTTAATTAAACGACCCCTACGGATGGCAACGGAGCAGGGATGGGGCGGGGTTTGCAATCCCCGGCCCCGGCCCCGGTTTATATAAGTAGTCCCCGGCCCCGGCCCCGTCTCCGGTCAACTTTCGGTCAACCCCCGGTCAACACCCATTTTAGCCCAATTATATATATCACTTATAAGCCCAAGTCCATAATAAATCTAAGCCCAATTATATATATCACTTATAAGCCCAAATAATAAAAATGTTTAATATTTATATATATATACCGGGTACGGGGCGGGTCGGGGGATACAATACCCGGCCCCGGCCCCAACCCCAACCCCGGTTTGCCTCTACCGGGGATCCCCGGCCCCTGCCCCGGTACCCGTTTTAGCGGGGAATCCCCGTCCCCGTCCGGGTCGGGTGAACCGGGTTCCCCACCGGATCGGGCCAAATCACCATCCTTAACGACCCCTAAATAAGAATCTTATTAGGCAAGAAGGAGCGTGGCTAAAATCGAGGTAAACTAGGGATAGGCCCATTAAATGACGAGGAGGGGACTTTATAACCTGTACTCATCGAGGGCCAGAACGATGTGTTTGAATCATTGCCATGTCTGTTATAGGATAAATTTATAAAATAATTATTTTTATGAAATACTTATATAACTATCACATAACAATGATACGCTAGTGTTATGAAACAGTTAAGTGTTGCATTATTATCGATACTTTAAACACACATACACACATATTTGTATGTGTTGCTTGCACATGAATATGATTTGTTGTTTAACGGGAAAAAAATGTTTGCTTTTATATGGCTATGACACTCAAATTTGACAAACATATAAAAGAGTTGATGAACTAGTTACGTTTGGAAAAAAATTAAGTGATATACTAAGTAACAACTGTAAAATAACCTAAAATAACATGTTGATAAAATATCCAATTTTAATATCACATAATATAACTAAAGCGGATCGATAATTAAAATTTATTATTTACAGAAGTTAAAAAACAAAACGTTAATCTTTATATACCTCAAAAAAAATATTTTTAAAACTATTATTTATTTAAGTTTTTTGGTCGAGTATATCTATTTAAATAATAGCAATATAAAAAATAAGTACTAGTATGTAATAATATGACTAAAAATAATTCAAAAACCATTTATAATATTTAATAAAATTGAAACGACTAATAAAAATGAATAATATGATTAAAAAATAGAAGTTATTAGTAAAATTTAAAACAAATATGACTAATTATATTTCATAATAATGTTTAATATTATCATTCATCAAATTAAACTTCAATACTTAACATTATATTTATAAATTGATAAATAAGTGCTAATTAACAGGATAAATTAATAATTAAATAAAATATTAAAGATATAATTGGAAAAAATAATAAAAAATCCAAAAACTTATTGAAACATAGCATTTTAATTAGGGAAATTTATAAAAATAACCGTTTTACACAACTCTTTGCCACAAAATAACCACATTTTAGAGGTTTTGCCAAAATAATCACCCGTATCGCCCCTGGGGCGATCCGTACATAATGGGGGCGATCCCCTTAAAAAAGTAAAAAAAAAATTCATTAAAAGTCAAGATTACCGTTCACCTCGTTGACCGTGTTTGACCTCGCCTGGGGGCGATCCGTGCTGTTCACCCATGAATTTTTTTTTAAATTGAAGTTGTATTTTTTTTAACTTTTTTAAAACCAAATTTCATGAGGAAAAGATTTAAAAATAAATCTTTATAATTATGGAGACGCAAAAATTAATTTTCTCTGTTTTGTGTTTCAGAAATCAGATATAATATCTGATTGACGAATCAGAAAGTGGCACGTCATGGAGTTGTCATATCATCAAAAACCGTGAAATCAACGTCAAATCGGCGTCATAGAGTTGTCATATCATAAAAAAATAGAGGTCAAATTTCGTCAATCAGATATTATATCTGATTTCCGAAACACAAAACAGAGAAAATTAATTTTTGCGTCTGCATAATTATTTTCCTCATGAAATTTGGTTTTACAAAAGTTAAAAAAATACAACTTCAATTTTAAAAAAAAAATTCAAAAAGAAAAAAAAATAATTCACAGGTGAACAGTACGGATCACCTCCGTGAATAGTACGGATCGCCCCCCGGCGATGTCAAACACGGTCAACGAGGTGAACAGTAATCTCGACTTTTGAAGAATTTTTTTTTTTTTTTACTTTTTTAAGGGGATCGCCCACATTATGTACGGATGGCCCCCGGGGGCGATACGGGTGGTTATTTTGGCAAAACCTCTAAAATATGGTTATTTTGTGGCAAAAGGTTGTGTAAAACGGTTATTTTTATAAATTTCCCTTTTAATTATAATTGGAAAAAATAATTAAAAAAAAATCCAAAAGGTGTCAAAACCTTTGGCGTCTGTAGCTCGGTGTGCTATAAATGATTTTCTTTTTCACTTTTATTTTTCGAATTAATGTAGATACGATTTGTATTTATAAGTTTAGAAATGAATTTTTTTTACGGTTTTAAATTATAAATCAAACGTCTATTTCAAATGAAAAATATCATGATTAAATTTTTAACAGCCTACCAATTTAATCTTGCAAGTTGTCATAGAATTTAAGTAATGATAGTTATTAGTACGGTAATAAATCCTATATTTTAATTAATAATATTAGAAGGGTATTCATATAATACAATTAGATAAATCTTAATTTTAATGTTTTGTTTTGTTTTTTTCTTTGTCTCAGTCGGTGTTATTAATACGATTTTATGTGTTTTTGAGAAAGCGATAATGTTTTTATCTATACTATATTATAAAACATTTGACAAAAACTATTAAAAACCACTTTTTATGTGTAAACTACTGTTAATTTATGCATATTACTTAAAACTTAAGATTACAAGTATATTGTGCGTAAGTATAACTTATTAAAGCTCCATATCTGAATTCGTATAACTAACTGCAAATAAACATAATCAAATACAAGATAAGTATCTCATTTTAAATATAAAAAATCTAAAATATAATTAAGATAATCAATGAGTTCTAACAGAATACTTAATTATTATATTTATAAAATGTTATATATAATAAACCAAAAATAAATTATTTCGTTATTAAACTTAAATTAAATTATAATAAAAAAATAAATTAAAGAAACTACAGAAAAATGAGAACTTTTAAATAGTTGATTTGATATTAACACTGATATATATTTTTTTTTAAATTTTTATGACATCTTCAAATTTATATTTTATTAAAAATAAAATCATTATCGCTTTCTTAAAAACACATAAAATCATATTTTAACATCGACAGAGACAAATAATAAAATAATACATTAAAATCGAGATGTGTCTTGCTACATTAAGCGAGTATTCTTCTAGTTTTTTTAATAATGGAGATATCATAAAAAATTAAAAAATAATATTGGTATATTGGTATCAAACTAACTATTTAAAATTTCTCATTTTATGTGTATTTCTTTAGTTCATTTTTTTTTACTTTTGGTTTAATAATATAATTTTTATAATGATAATAATTAAGTATTTTGTTAGAAGTCAATGACTATCCTAATTGTATTTTAGAAAAAGTTTATATTTAAAATGAGATGTTTATTCTCTATTTGATTATGTTAATCTGCCTATTAGTTACACGAATTTAAACATGAATTTTTAATAAGTTGTACTTACGCATAATTTATTTGTAATATTAAATTTTAATAAATATACATTAATAAACAATACTTCATGCAACATCGAAAGAGATTGAGGCATTCAACTTAAGAGGGAACGACTCCTTCCAAACCCTTTAGAATTTGGTGGATCTATTTCATACAACATATTTTAAAAAACACGTGGTTTTTAGTAATTTACAACAAGATATTTAATTAAATCACTTCACTAATATATAGAAAAATCAAAGATATAAAATATTAATAGCAAGTTTTTCCAAAAATATAAAATTTACTAAAAGCAAGCTAATTGGTCCTTATGCTAATAATGGGAAAGTATGCTACAAAATTCATTATCCTAATCCCTATGTACATTAATTCAATTTAAATTCAGACGCCGTTGTTTATTTAATGTACATCATTAATTAATTTTGAATTAATTTTATTTTTATTAAAAGTCGATCGTTGTTTCTCTATTTATACATCCAATGCGTATGTAGTCACATAAATCAAAAGATGATGCAAAGATTAGCTGTAGCTGTAGCAGTCGCACGACAAAGAGTTGGTGCATCACTACCACAAAGAACACCTGCTGCTTTCTTTTCAACCTCTATGCTATTCGATGAAACACAAATAAAAGTATATATATACATACATATATATATATATATATTAGATTTTAATTGTATTTTCAATTAATTAATTTGTTGCATGATCATGATTACGTACAGTTCAAAGAAGGTGTTCAGCAATTTGCCCAAGACCAGATTGCTCCCCATGCAGATAAAATTGATAAGATGGATTCTTTCCCAGAGGTTCCATTCAATTATTCTTGCACAAAATCATTAATTCATTTGTTATATTTGTTTTATCTAAGCATCTGTTTTTCATGCATGTACAAAAACAACCCTTTATAGTCTCATGAATATTTAAGTGTATATTTTGACAAGGCTCAAACGAGAAGATAGTCAATATAAGAGAACACAAGAACGACGAAATCACATGTGACTTTGCACTGAAACCACATATGATTATAGAAAATGGTCAATGCAAGAATGTGCGTGTGACATAAGGTTGCACAAATCACATGTGAATTTAGTGTTAAATCACAAGTGACTTGGTTATTCTCGTGTTCTCTTATTCGGTTATTGTTTTCATTTGAATCCGACTCTTTCTCTCTCTCTCTCTTTATAGAGGCAGGTTCAAAGAAGAAGACGTCACGTCTCTTAGATATTAATCATGAATGGTGTATTAATTAATTATCCTGAATGTTGTAAAAAGAATTGCGTTCATTATACACGATGAATGGAAAAATATGGGAACATGTGTCGCGATTTCTTTTTTCCCTCAGTTGACAATGTAAAACATGTTTGCAATCAACTGCTTACAATCTTCTATTCACGGATTCCAGGATGTTAACTTATGGAAACTAATGGGGGACTTCAATCTTCATGGACTTACTGCTCCAGGTACACCTGCTTCCATTACTATATATATATATATATATAGAGAGAGAGAGAGAGAGAGAGAGAGGAAGATGCAAATCAGTTGAAAAGTAGCTAGTAATTTGTTTTGAGAATGTAAAAAATGAGTCTTATTATATGTATGTGTAGCGGAATATGGAGGACTAGACGTTGGATATTTATATCATTGCTTGGCGATGGAGGAGATTAGCCGTGCATCAGCATCAGTTGGGTTGTCGTATGGTGTCCATTCTAACGTCTGCCTTAGTCAGTTGGTAATTAATTACTTATAATTTATATATATAGTAATTACGTTGTGGGTTTAATTAATGAACAGCTTCCTGATTGGTGTTATAGGTGAGGCATGGAAATGCAACCCAGAAGGACAAATATTTGCGAAAGGTTAATTTTAATTTAACCTGGAAAAACATATAACAAATTAATATGCTTGTAATTATAAATTCGATGGACTTTTTGTTTCATTAAATACTGTAATGGTTCCTATGAATTAGTTAATCAGTGGAGAGCATGTGGGAGCTCTTTCCATCAGCGAGCCTGGTGGTAATAATTCTGCTGCTGCTTTTATAATTCATTTCATATTGTTATTAAGTACATGCTTTTCATGTACAACTCGGTCTTTTCTTGAATGCAGCTGGGTCAGATGCTGTTGGCATCAAATGCAAAGCTGAACGTGTGGATGGTGGTTATGTTCTAAACGGGAACAAGATGTGGTGCTCCAATGGTGGAATTGCTGATACCTTGGTATATATATATATATAATATCAATTGTCATCTTTAATTTTTTCTATTAATTACTGATTAGTTGGTAATAATGCATATCGACGACAACTGATGTATATATATATATATATTGGTTTCCGTTAGGTGGTTTATGCTAAAACAGATGTTAATGCTCGCTCCAAAGGGATAACAGCATTTATTGTAGAGAAAGGGACGCCTGGGTACGTCTTTATTTTGTTATATATTACAAAAATAGGTTAATTTAATTCTTCTTCCTTTTTTAAATTAAAGTTAAGCTTTCTAAATATCCATCCCTGAATATATAAATTAATTTTGGACTCAGATTCAATGCTGCCCAAAAATTGGATAAACTTGGAATGCGTGGAAGTGGGACGTACGTATAATTCCTAGTTGATCGATTAAACTTGATAATAATTAATCAAGTTTCTGACAAATTAATTCTTACTCATCTTAGATACGAGCTTGTGTTTGAGAATTGCTTCGTTCCTAAAGAGAATATTCTTGGTGAAGAGGGAAAAGGTAGCTTACCTCATGTTTCAATATTTGCATATATATGGATTCATGTATGCATATTCAAATAGATATTTTTAATATAAACTTTCATTTTTTTACCACTCACGCTATGTATCATATCTTATTTGAACATTCGACTAATGCTATATATATATATATATATGTTGAAATAAATTACAGGAGTTTATATCATGATGTCGGGTTTAGATTTAGAGAGACTGGTACTTGCAGCTGGACCAATTGGGATAATGCAGGCATGTCTAGATGTTGCTCTTCCTTATGTCCGCCAAAGAGAACAATTTGGGCGCCCCATTGGGGAGTTTCAACTTATGCAGGTACCTACATATCATATCACTACACACATGCATGTTTCTAATTAATTCTTCTTCTTTTAATTCAACTCTTGCACAAATTGATTTTAAACAGGGAAAAATTGCAGACATGTATGCTTCTTTGCAGTCTTCCAGGTAAATGAAACACGGTGACTCTGACTCCATATATAACTCTTGGCCATGTATTATGTGCATATATATATATATATATATATATATATTGACAAGTGATTCATTAATGTCGTCACAGATCATATGTATATTCTGTTGCAAGGGACTGTGACAATGGGAAGGTCATTTCAAAGGTACCTACAATTTCAATCTGATATATATATATATATATATATATATATAGATATAGATGTGCAATATTTTTATGGGTTATATATATATATGTATGTATGCCTTGTGCATAAGGGTTTGTACATAACTGTTACAGGACTGTGCTGGAGTTATACTTGTTGCTGCTGAAAATGCTACTCAAGTTGCTCTACAGGTGCAACAAATTAACTAATTAATTTTCCACTTAATTCATGCAATATTCATTTTGGTAATTGTTTGCAGGCTATTCAATGCTTAGGTGGGAATGGGTATATGAATGAGTACCCAACGGGCCGATATCTTCGTGATGCCAAATTGTATGAGATTGCTGCCGGAACTAGCGAGATTAGAAGAATGCTTATGGGTCGCGAACTCTTCAAGGACCAATGATATATAACCAAGTTTATTAAATAAAGATTTAGTCTCTCATTTTCAATATGTAATAATACATATATCCTAATTATTATGTGTCAAACTCAACTGAAATACTCTTTCGATTACACCATCATGATTCTAGAAAAACCAAGCTTTTTGGGGGCCAGGCCAAGCCCGACATCTGGTATGAAAATAGGTCCGATCAGACTTTTTCAGATATGATTCCCGCCTCCTTACTGCTACAACGATTCAACAAAGAAACATATAAATACACCTCAAACACTCAGAAAACGCACGATAACATAAGAAGCCATGAGAAAACCCAAAGTCTAGGTGCAACTTATTTGGCTACATACTGTTGCATCAAAGTCTTGGCAAGCAAGTACTTGAAACTTGCTCTGCATAACAAACACAAAACAACAAGCAACCCCATAAAACAGTGATGATGATTTTAATTAATCCGGATGACCGACTGATGAAGACTTAGCTGTATCGACTACAGCCGGTGCCTCCTCCAAGCAGCTTGTGTTGTCACTGATCACCCCACTGCTCATCAGCTTTTCCACTTCTTCTGCACTGTATATGTGTATCTTTGTAGCCATCCTTGCAAACTCGCTGTTATTCACAAACATCTACCTTTTAGTTACTGTTTAACATTTTCAGAACCAACTATTCATAATGAATATCATCATTCTTATGAATACTTTAGTGTTATTCATCATGAATAAACAGTTGGCTTCTTATTCATGAATACTAGAGTTAAGGTATAACTACTTACTCCCATGGATCATCCCCCACAACCATCATGTCATTCTCTTCATCGGTATACAGTAGTCGCCATCCACCATTTGGATTACTGAACATGCCTTCCATGTTAAACAATGATTCCAGCTCCAAGAACAACTCACCGTAACTTGACATTTTTGACAGATCAATCGCCCTTCCAACCTTGTTTCCTTGCTTGTGAACCTACACTCCAAAACCAAATCCAAGAAATTAGCCGATGGATCATCAACTATCAATGAAGCATGGTTTAAATTAGAATCCAACTCTACCTTGGTACAACTCCTCTTGTTTAAACTTTTAGCATCTACCAATGGAGCAACTTCATTCAATGGAAAACCAAAGAGTTTACAGCTGCTCTCTATGCTATCTGAAGCACCGTCATCTTTTTCGCTGCTTGAATTTGGTTCAATCGTCGCACCGACAATTTTCTCTACGGGAACCTGAAGCTCGCCCACATTATCCCTCATGATCCCATTTCCAATGGAAGGTGGAACGATGGGAAATCGCGTGAAGTTTGTAGGCATGGCTGGACCTGGATTCGGTCTTGCTTCACAAACACCAGTATTTGGAAACCCAAAGTTTCTGCCACCTTCAGAACCAAGTGGATAGAAACCGGGATTCTCAGGGCTTCTATACATGTTGAGAACATTGCGACGGCCATTACCAACATCGGTTCTTGGTGGGCCCCAAGAACCGATGTTGGGTTTTCCGGTCAATGATCTCAACGAGCAAATTTCTTGACCTTGCAAGACCTTCGGGAATCTAGCATTATCAGATTCCAGAAAGCCCGAGTAAGGGGTGGCTGGGAGTGGCTGATGATGAGTACTCCTCATAATTTCACCAACAAAATTTGTACTCCTTGCCATCATCATCCCATTTGGGGGAAAACTCGGATGCATCGAGGGTTGTACCCCAAAGCTCAACGAGTTCATCTTATCACGCCCATACAGAGGTGATACCGGACCTACATTTTCTTGACCTTGCAAGACCTTAGAGGATCTTACGACAGACTCCTCAAAGTCTACATATCCACCCCGTGCTGCAAAAAGAGAATGTAAATTACTAACGTGTGTAGAAAAACTCAATGGTTCCATATGTTCGATTCAAGAACGATTCATACCAGTTGCAGGGTGACCAGAAGGAGTTGCATGCAGACCTGCACGCAGTTTCTTGAGTCGTGGGGAGGACTGAATGCTTAACAATGGAAAAGCCCCACCAGAAAGATCAATCTCCCATGGAGATATTCGTTCTTGATGATCATTTCCAATATCTTCGTCCCACCTCACCTGTTTTCGAGGCAAGAAAGCAAGTAAATATACACTTCTATCTAAACACAATAGAAGCCTTGTTGAGGACCAAACTTCGACCATATATGTTGGGACCCCTCGGATCCTAACTCTAATGAAAAGTCTATATTCAGTTATGGAGCCTAACATCACAGATCCACAAACCATTGTTCACATGACAACAAAACTGGCTTTATAGAACACCAGAAACGTCTAAGGGTCTGTCAGTTAGCAGCTTGACGAGCTTAATGGGACTCACAGCTTATTCGCTCAGCTATACATGACTGTTTGATGGTGGCTTAATAATATAGAAAGTGGCTTATTCAGTAAGCTTCTAGGGGGAGCTTAATACAGAAAGCCAAGGTTTTTCCAAACCTACTCCACCCAATTAAAAAACACGCTCCTTCCATCTATGAAAAAACCCTCCCAAACAGAAACCTTCCTAATCTATACAGACAGATTAGTCCACAAAAACAATTTTATCCATACAGGACTTAATGAAAAAACAACCAAACATCCCCTAACTGTCCTGAAAATCAGCTTTATAGGGACCAAAGAATTATGCATCCTAAGTAAATGTGTTACAATAAGCTAATAGAACGTTTTTGGGCATCCTAATAGGCTTTTTAAGGACCATTTGAAAATAAGACGTCCTATTAGTTTCTTTATATGACATTATTTGAGAAAGTATCTCATGAAAAAAAGCTAATAAGACACTTTATCTCAAAAATTCCTAAAAAAACTTGTTAGGCAGCCTAGATGCACCCTATGAACTTATTGCAACACATTTACATAGGAGCACGATTATTTGGTTCTATAAACTTAAGTCCGATTTTGTTGTGATCTCAGTTTTTTGCTCGGTTACCAGCAACAACAAAATTTGTAACAAAATGTTTCTGTAAATTAAGTTGAAAAGTTATGGCATGTACCATTAGGCATCTCCATTTTGAGTTGGGCCATTTGTAAGGATCCATATCACCTACACCCGTCACAACTCCACTGAACCTGCAAGAAATCGAAATGTAACTCTTTTCCAAAGACTATCGACCATAAAGAAACTGTGCATGATGCATACCTTCGTTCAGGAGACTCATCCATACAGAATTTCATTTTGAATCTTGCACCCATAGATATCATATTACTAATTGATTTCACGTACTTTGTATAAGGAACAACAAAATCCGCCCGACTAGACCTGCATTAATGTCTTCTGTTATTTGGAAAAATAAGTCAACTAAAGCACAGCAATCAAGATTCATGTTTCTAGAACTCACCTTGGACTGTAGAAAACATGAAAAGTGGTGTTGGTTGACACTGCATTAGCGACAGAAGCAAGAATTTCGGAATAAGAATTCAAGTTTCCCATGGTTGTATCAGGAAGGACGTTTCTTGGTCGAGTAGCTCTTCGAGTTCCTAGTCTCAGTTCTCCTCCTTCCCCCCTAAAACCACCATAACAAATGGATCAATGAGACCTAAAACAGATTAAGTTTTCAATTCTGATTGCTTATTGATTAAAAAAACCCGAAAGAAACTACAAAAAGATACCTCAAAAAGAGAACTGCATCCCCTGAAACAAGATTTTTTTGGCTTACAAAGATGCTCCAACCTGTCGTAAGCAAATGCCGCCTAGGCTGACCTGTAAGAACATGATTCGGTTCCCAAATCAATATATGAATTAAATTTGAAATTTTGACTTGAATCAAAACCCTAATTGAATTACTTAACCAAATTCACCTCTATAAATATGCCTAAATTTCCATTCTACTCCATGGAGATCCTTAGCAATTAGTTCTTGGCTGGGCCTCTGCTGCTTATAATCCTAACACACAACCAGTAAATACAAACTAAATTTACACAAATAATGAACAAATTTGGTCAATTTGCACATGGGAAAGCATCAAGAACCCTAAAAAAGTAGGTGAAATATCGTACCAGAGGTGGGAAACAATCTTCAGCAGCTCGTCGAGGAACCGAGAATCCGCCATGGGTGGATGTGTCAGAAGCAGTGAGTGTTTTGCAGAACATTTGAGGGGTTGATCTTACGGGTGCAACCCCCCCACCCTCCTCCTCACTTTCTTGCAAATTTCCCTGCAAATTATAAAATTAAATTCCTTGTTACTAGAATTAACTACTCGAAGATCAAAAACAAGATCTTTCTTACCAAAAAGGTTGCATACGCAAACATCCCAATTACCAGAATGCAGCAGCATCAAAGGAAATAACAAAGGGGGAAATCGAATTTATTTAAAATTTTAACGAATTTAAGTCGAAACTTTCAAAATGGTTAAAACTGGGAACCAATTTTACCTCTGGCAGAGGCAAAAGAATGAGCTTTGTGTAGACCTCATCGTTCTCCTTGTTTGCCTGTTTTCAAGAATTGGGTGAAAGGTTAAAAAAAACGTGAAATTGAGTGAAGAAAAGAATACCCAATAAAGAAAAAAGGGGAAATTGAAGAACTTACAAGCAATTGAACATCAACAATTTTGCAAAAAATCAGAGGAGGGAGTCCCAAAGAGGGAACTTCAATGGGTGAAAAGTGAGTGGATGAGTGTGAGGCAATTTGTTCCAAGTGACCTTGAGGGAAGTAAACAACCACATTTCCTTTATTTGGGAGAGTGGTAAGAGGGCCAGCACAAGCATGCCAGAGTTCCATGTAAATTGAGGCAGAAGGGTTTGAAATTGGGGACTTTAAGGAAGAATTTGAGGAGTTTGATGAAATTGATAGTGATGAATCCCCTTCATTCCCACAAGATTCAGCATTGTGACCACTCACTGCATGATTCAGATCAATCTCCATCACAAACCCCAACTTCAGTTTTCCCCTATTCTCCCAAGTGATTCTTGAAACCAAAAAAATGGAAAAAAGAAGGTGGGATTTCTAAGATAAGAACAATCAGTTGATTCTTGATATGAAGGGGACAAGAAACTTGAGGAAATGAAGTCAAATCATGGGGCAAAATCAAGAACGCAAAGGAAAGACATGGTTTTTCATGACACCCAACAAGAATATGAACAAGAAATGGAAAAAAAGAGATTGAAATTTATGAAAGAAGAAAACTTGGGAGGAAATTGAGAGTATGATTGCTAACCCATTATGTTGTTTAGAAAGTAAAAAGAGGGAAGGCAAGCAGAGGAAGGAAGGAAGGCAGACATGGACAAATGCATAGGTAGCACAGAAACAAAAGTTGAAACAAAAGGCAGAAAAAGCCAATGTGGTCTTATGTCCTTTTTAACTTCAAGATTTTTTTTCCAACCTAATCAAATATTACTCTATAAACATCTTCTTTCTTCTTTATTAAATTATGTTTTGAAACATATTTAATATTAGATAGTTTCACTTACAAATTAGAGTGTTTGGTGCACATTTTTATTGATACCAGAAGAGTACTCGTGCAATGCAGCGAGACACATCTCGATTTTAATGTTCTATTTTATTATTTGTTTATGTCGATGTTATAATACGATTTTATCTGTTTTTAAGAAAGCAATGAATTTTTGAATAAAATATAAATTTGAAGATATAATAAAAATTTAAAAAAAAAACATATCAATGTTAATATCAAATCAACTATTTAAAAGTTCTCATTTTTTTATGTAATTTTTTTAATTTATTTTTTAATTATAATTTAATTTAAGTTTAATAACGAAATAATTTATTTTTGGTGTAATTATATAACATTTTATAAAAATAATAATTAAGTATTCTGATAGAACTCAATGATTATCCTAATTATATTTTAGATTTTTTATATTTAAAATGAGATGTTTATCATGTATTTGATTATGTCTATCTGCAGTTAGTTACACGAATTCAGATATGAAACTTTAATAAGTTCTATTTATGCAGAATCTACTTGCAATCTTGAGTTTTAAGTAATATGCATTAATAAACAATATTTTACGCATAAAAAGTGGTTTTTAAGAATTTTTATAATTTTATATATATTTGATGAGAATTTTTAATCAAAATAAAATACATAAACATTAAATAAGTTGTTAAGATAATATTAAAAAAAAAACCGTAATGGAAACAGATTAATTTTACAGTTTGTATTTATTCTATCTTTAAAATATTTCTAAATTAAAACCTAATACCTTTTCTTAAACTATATATCAAATCTAGATGTTTAAAATTTGACAATAATTATAAAAAAAAATTCAGTAAATTTGTAGCAATTATTAATTGTATTTTTAAATGAAATTAATTTGAGACAAGAGAGAACCCACACTGCACGCACACTCCCTCAAAGGATCAAATCAAACCCACACTTTTCCTTTCTTTTACCTACAAAATTAGTGTTCACTTTATTTAACTCTCTTTTGATTTTAATTCTAAATTATATTAAAGTAGTTAAAATTAATATCTTAAATATGTATTAAATTATGTAATTGCTCAAACATTGGGTTATTATTTAATGCGTAGTAATAAAGATCAAAAAGTATCATATAATGTAATCAATGTAACGAACACGTTCATTTACCAAATGTATAAAATATGACTAATGAACTTAATTTCATTAAAAGTACAAACATAAATGAACATTGTCACGATTTTTCAACGAATAAATAAAATCCGATAAACCAAGAAAATTCAACACTGCCAAATTTCATTTCCATGCAAAAATTAGAAGATAAAATTACATTTTAGCCAATATTAAAATTGATTTTAAATGTTTGTATTACTATTAATATTGATTTTTCATTATTAAAAATAGATGTCTACCAAAAAGTCAAATGAAAAGATTGGATTTTTGTGCCAACAAACACATAATACTAACTTTTTCCAATGAAGATAATTTAATTGGTGAGTGGTAACAATAAAAGCAACAATCCCCATTGTAGCTTTCAAAGAAAGTCATATTATTTTTATTAAAAAAGAAATAAATAAATAATAATATAGTTTTATTCTTGCCATTTTTATACACCTTTCATATCCCAATCTTTGAGTTCACCAAATTCACATCTTTTCTGCATGCCCTAAAATGGAAATATGTGTACAAAAGAAAACCCATGAAACCAAAAATTATTCCAAAAATATGAATTTTAGTTGGGGAAAAGTCATGAAAAATCTAATCACACAAAACCCAACATAAGGAATCCATTAAAGTTAAAATAATGGGGGTGTGTTTAAAGATACTTTAATCTTTAGGGACAACTCCTATAACAATTTTTTTATTACATCCATTTATATAATATTATGTTAATCAAGGTTATGTATGATAAATTAACTGGTATTGATAAAATTATATGATAATCTAAAACATTTTCAAAAATCCAACTTAAAAGGATCTACTTAATATATATATCAATTTTCTCGTATTTTTTTAAAATACTAAAATGATGATTAAAGTCTATAAATCACACTTAACTATAAGAGATTTTCTAACTTTGATTATATTTAATTCCAACGATATAATTATGCTTCCCAAATAGAAAATGTAAAACTCAAAATCCCAAAAAAAAAAATCATATTTAATTCCAACGATATATCTATTTGATATTCTATCGTAATTATATTATTAAAATATTTAATAAATTTAATATTAATATTTCAACAAACATTTAAATATTCTTTTTTTATGTTCTCTCTTCTCTAAAATTTAATGTTTCAAATATGAAGAAAACTTTGTTTTATCTCTTTGTGGTTCCATCCTATTATAAAAAACTCTAAAACCTCTTTTTTTTAAATATTTTTTAAATTTTTTTGAACTTATAGATATGACATTTTATGATTTAAACCTATAAAATAGTTTATTATGACATTTAGACATTTTTAATATTATTAAAACCTGATTTTTTTAGTGACTTCAAATATCACTGTTAGAATTATTTATCGTAAAATTCTTTTAGCATTTTAATAAGTATAGTATTTACCAACAAAAGTACAAGTACGATACAAAATAGTCATTTATTCAATGGTACCTTAATTACATATATAATATACATCTACCATGTATAATTATTATGTACTTGAAAAAAAGCTACAAGTAGGATAATTCAATACTAAATTGATTTAACAGTCAAAGGCATCCATGTTGAAGTACTTTTTATTGCTGTAACACAAATATATACAATACATTTATAAATATAATTTGTTAAACATTAATTGAATTTGGTAGTTGTTTATATCATGGCCTCACTTTTGAATGGCATGGAAAATAGTTGATATTTTTGTTTATTTTATTTGTTATTAAATAAACAAAAATAATAAACTAATACCAAACCTTAAAGTTATCTGTAATTAAATTTATAATTAATAATAGAATTATCCTAAATACTTGTAAATGGATAATTTTAACAAACAAAAATATAACTATCTAAATGATTATTTTATTAATTACATATTATCTTCTAAATTAAAAAAGTAAAAATATAACTAACTATCTATTCCATATTTAATTATTACTTTATTTTGCAAAAAGGATTACTACTTTAACAATTAACATTACTAATCAACAAAAATTTTCAAATAAATATAATATTTATACTATATTATAAATTATTTGACAAAAACTCTTAAAAACCATTTTTTATGTGTAAAGTATTGTTTATTAATGCATATTACTTAAACTCAAGATTACAAGTAAATTGTGCATAAGTACAACTTATTAAAGCTTCATGTTAGAATTCGTGTAACTAATTGTAGATAAACATCGTCAAATACAAGATAAATATTTCATTTTAAATATTAAAAATCTAAAATATAATTAGGATAACCATTGAGTTCCAACAGATTACTTAATATTATTCTTATAAAAGATTTATTAAAGCAAAAATAAATTATTTCGTTATTAAATTTAAATTAAATTATAATAAAAAATGAATCAAAGAAATTACACAAAAAATAATAATTTTTGAATAGTTAATTTGATACTAATATTGATATATTTATTTTTGAATTTTTAAGATATACTCAAATTTATATCTTATTCAAAAATAAAATCATTATTTCTTTCTCAAAACCACATAAAAACCGTATTAAAACATTTACAAAGACGGAATAAAACGAAATACTAAAATCGATATATATCTCGTTGCATTGCACGAGTACCCTTCTAGTATTTTATAAATGGATTCCACAATGAAAAAGATGCATAGTTTCAAAATGTATATTTATCACACTTTTTAACAAAGTGACAATTTTACCTTAATTATTTTGGACAAACTAAAATAGTAATATAAACAGTTAGGGGCTGCTTACCGAACATTTACCAGACAAGCACTTACTGGCAAGAGAAATTGCCCAAACTTACCTTTTCATATAACATTTTTGGTCATCAAAATAAATTGTGGGGTTTGTAACATTCCATACCAACCATACTAAATATTGTCCGTTTTGTCCATACACCTAAATTCACGGTTTTAAAATACATCTGGTAGATGGGGTATTAAGCCTCTTATAAGAAAACATTTGTTCTCCTCACCAACCAATGTGGGATCTTACATCAGTTTGTATTATGTTTTTTATCGGCTAAGATTTTTTATCTTTGTCAAACTCAATCGATAAAATAAATGATAACAGTAAGCAGTTAGTGGATAAAAACAAAGGCTTAGTTTAGAAGAGGAAGTATAAAAGAATTGAAATAAAATAAATGGAAAAGGGAAAGTATAGAATTAATGTAGTAATAACGACCAATGTTTAAGAAGTGGAAAGAAGGGGGGAAGAGTTGTCAATGTAAAGGTGGGGGCGTGAAGCTTTTGGCAGCGAGTGGTGGGGGTAAGGGGCTGTTTAGTAATTATAAACTACTTACTCAGTGACTCAGTGCTTCCCCTCGACCAGTCCATCCTTTTTACATATCTCTCCCGTCTCATCACTCCCACTCCCACGCGCTTCTTTATTTATTACTTTTTCTATTTTTAAAAACAAATAAAACTTTATATCATTGATTTTCATCTTTAATCTTATGGCATCAGAAAACATGTAATAAAAATGTTGAAATTTGATTTCGATAATTGTAAAAATGGAAAATAGATGAAAAGTGATATAGACGCGCGTGGGAGTGAAGGTGGGA